GGGCGCGGTCGGGCCCGGGGTGGGGGGCGCCCGCGGGTACGGCGGGCACAGCTCAGTGAGCAGAGCAGAGCCTTTCCGGCTGTCCCCTCTGCTCAGCTGAAAGCCCACCAGGCCTCGCTGGGCACCCTTGAAGCCTCATTACCCCCAAAGGCCCTGCCTTCCAGCACCATCGCACGACTGGACTAGGGCCCCACTGCTCAGCCCTGTCAGTGGCTCAGCTATTCTTTTTTTTTTTTTTAAGGTTTTTGCCATAGGGTGCGTGTGCTCACTGGAGAGAGACAGAGAGAGGGAAAGTGAGAACTCACCCCCAGGGGGATGGCCATACTGCATTCCCTTCTCCCACAAGTTCCTCCCGAGATTTTGGGCACACATGCACATGTCCCTGGAGTGGTTTTTTAAGCCACCAGGCCTGGGACTCGAACTGCAGTCTGTCATGAGCGAGTTCAGCACCTTAACCACCATGCCGGTGCTCTTTGAGCTGGAGCCACCTTTGGGCGACAAGGTCATCGGACGTCCAGCATCCCAGATGTCCCAGACCCTGCGTCCAAGTGGCACTTTAATATTCAAAGCTGTCATGTAGGAGGGGACTCTAACAAAGTCATGGAAAATGGAGTTACAATAACCGTTTATTGCAAAACCCTGCAACCCATGCCTGGCTTTTAATACACACTTCCATGAACTTCTGGAAGACCCTGGTGTTCGCTCAGGGGATCCAGCCCTGGTGATTAAACATGCACGGCGGAAGGAGAGCCCAGAGAGGGGGTGGACAGGGCAGGGGTGAAGATGGCAGTCCTAAGGCAAGGCAGGAGGAAGTGGCCCTCTGGGACCCCTACAGCCCTACCCAGAAGGCCGGCCGAGGACACGCGGCACAGCGGGCCCCGTGCCTCGTACACGCCGAACCCCAGGCAGCAGGCTGAAGTCCTCGCTGGCAAATTTAGTAAATTATACACTGCTGCTTCCCCTCGTCCTCCCGGTGCCCGGGGCCTGAAGACAGGCCTTGTTTTCCACGCCCTCCCCGCAGTGACTCACCCCAGGCCCGCCCTCCCGGGGCGCCACGTGCTCTCAGGCAATGCACCCCAACCACACGCATCCTGCCAGCCTCCACTCAGTCTGCCAGGGTCGGCCTGCCCGCGCACCCCGGCCTGGGGGTGGGGAGCTCCCTGCCCACCCTGCAGGAGGGAGAGTGGAAGGGGAAAGCAGGCGCCATCGCACCCTCGTCCTGGACCCTGGACGAGGTTTTCTGGGGAATAGATGCCCCGGGCCCCTGCACCCTGACAGTGTCTACCATGTTTGGGGACAAGCAGGGAAGCCGTGAAGGAATCGACCCACCACATGGAAGAGGCACGCTGCCCCCGTCTGCACCCCTGCTGAAGCGGCTCCCCTTGGGACGGTGTGGCCGACGCCCTCGGGGCCTTTACCGAGTTTTCTCCACTGATGGCCGCTGGCCGCACTCCTGCGTCTGCGCTTGTGGCCGGGCAGAGATGTGGGTCTAGGACATCCCGAGGAACTGTTCTGGGTCCCCACACGGTCTGCTCAGCTGCAGGACGGGGCACGGTGGCAAGCCAGGTGCCCCCCACAAACAGCACAGTCCCTGGGATTACAGGCTCTTGCACCAGGGGCGCTGAGGGTCTGCGGCGACACCCGCCTCACATGAGGGTTTCAGGATAGACGAGGCTCCGCCAGGCCAGGCCCTCCCTCCAGTCCTCCTCGTCCTGTCACTCCCTGCGTGACTCACAGGAGCATCTGCCCTCTGGGGCCCACCACGGTCCCGCCAATAGCCAGGCTGCCCCAGCAGCTTCGTCTGCAAAGACTTCCTCGGGGACGCACTTAATGCCACCGGGCTATACGCTCAGCGATGGCTGGATGTGGACCGGGCTCGGCCGTGGTGCGGGGACACGCAGCTGAACCCGCCCGGAAAGGCCCTGGGTTGGCCTCTGGAGCCCGCCCTGGGTGTGCAGCTGGCTCTCTGCCTCCCTAAGTCATATGCTAAGTGTAACCGCTGCAGTTTAAAAGACAATACATTTTAAACCAAACCACTTTCTTGCAACCATTGCTTGCTGAGTCTGGGGGCTTCTGATGTGGCCGCGGTAGGCAGCGCTGGCCCAGTGGTCCAGAACGTGCTGGGCCTCGGTGCCGAGCCATCGCCAAGTCACACGGGCCTGTCCAAGCCACTCCCCATCCCCTGCCCGCTGCCAGGAGCCCGACCCCTCCAGCTCCATCCCTCCCCGCTTTGCGCCCCAACTCCAGAGAACAGGAGATGCCGGCCATCCAGGGCAGCCGCAGATCAGTACGGCCTGCCCGGTTCGTGACCAGTGAGTGACCAGGGTCCAGGCCCCCCTGGACTGCGGCTTCCACACCCACTTCCAGGCCCACACCCGCCTCAGGCGCCTCTTTGAACGAAGGATCAGGATCGTTGGGACCTACAGTGTGTGTCTAGTCACAGCGCCTGCGGTCCAGGAAGGGAGTCATGGCCGCTCAGAGAAACCAGAGCGACAGACTGACAGAGCAGCCTGGGGAGCGTGTACGGACGAGGATGGGAAGCAGAGTGGGGAGTATTTACAGCCCGACTGTGAAGAGCACGTTTTCTCCCTCACTTCTGTCTTCGGTGGGCCTCCTCCGACTTTTCAGTGTCTCCTGGTTCATCCAGAACCCCCAACACCAGACACCTCTGCCCATCCAACACGCCCACCACCACACACCCCTGCTCATCCAACACCCTCAACACACATGCACACCCCTGCTCATCAAACACCCCAATACACACACACCTGCTCATCCAACACCCTCAACACACACGCACACCCCTGCTCATCCAACACCCAACACACACGCACATCCCTGCTCATCAAACAGCAACACACACGCACACCCCTGCTCACCAACATCCCAATACACACACATACACACCCCCGCTCATCCAACACCCTCAACACACAGACACACCCCTGCTCATCCAACACCCCAATACACACACATACACACCCCTGCTCATCCAACACCCCAATACACACACTCAGCCACCACTCCAACACACATGCACACACTCTTGCTAACAAAATACCTCCCAACACAGAAGCACACACACCAGTACTCCCAGCACACACACACGCTCATCCCACACACACATGCTATCCATAGCACACACACTATCCAACATATACATGCTCATCCAACACCCCTCAACATACAGGCGCTTGGCCACCAGTCCCAATACACACACTCATCCAAGACCACTAATGCACACACACATGCTCATCCAACACACACACACGCTGTCCATACCACATACACACACTCATCCAAGACCACTAATGCACACACACACGCTCATCCAACACACACACACGCTGTCCATACCACATACACACACGCTCCCCCAAGACCCCCAATGCACACACATGCTCATCCAACACCCCCAATGTACACGCACTCAGCCAGCCCCCCCACACACACACACCCCACCCGTCCCCAGGCACCGCCTTCTTCCTGTGAGGCGAATCCACAGCTTCCTGCCAGCAGGAGGGTACTGGGTGTGCCTGCCTGCCATCCCGGCCCATCCTTCACTGCCAACTCCAGACGGGAAGTGGGGGTGTGCTGGCAGAGGCTGGCGTGGTGACGATGTTTGCACACGGAAGTGGGAGGTTTGGCAGAGACACTCTCCTGGTTCAAAATGGCCAGGGGCGTGTCACAGGCAGGAAGAAGTTGGGGAACGCTGGAATCCAGCCCACTGCGGAGCCACAGGGGACTCGGAGGCTGCCTCAGCAGGGACATGGGTGGAGACCGTCTGCGCCTTCGACTGTGCACAGCCACGTCCGCCACAGCTTAACGTCACTCCCGTGAGCAAGAGAAGTGCCATGGCCCCACCCCACCGTATGAATACCCCGTAATTTATTTATCCATG